TACACCTTAACTTTCATACTCCTTTTTACTCACACTACTAAAGAGATTAGATCACCTCTGACAACCTGCCTACTGTTAGTCAAACAAGACCTTCTCAGTTGTCTTCTCCTTATCTGTAGTAATACTATACTTACTAGACCTGTTAGGTATCATTCATGTGTTCCTTACAGTACTGTTTAATGTCTCAACTATGTGTTTTAGTCAATGTCTCAGTTGTCTTCTCCTTATCTGTAGTAACACTATACTTACTAAACCTGTTAAGTATTATTCACACATTCCTAGCAGTACAGTTTCACATCTTGACTATGTGTACTCCTTGTCCCTGTCCTTGTCTCTGTATGTTTTCATTGATGAGTCAAAGCCTTCCTAGGCCAGTTACTACATGTTCCTCTTCAACAGCTTGCTTCAACTTGTATCTGTCTTAGGGATACCATTTCTACTAACTCTGTCAAAAGTCCTTGTCCCTATACATTTTCATTAATGAGTTAAAGCCTTCCTAGGCTGGTGACTATGTGTTCCCTCTTACTATACTTCCCTTGCCTCTTCATTAATCCTTCCCTACCTTTTAACAAGTTGAAGCCTTCTTAAACTTGTGACTGTATGTTCCTTATTGTCTGTCCTTACCCTTTTGTATTTCACCTCCCCCCCCCTTTACTATATCCTTTCCTTTGTCTCTCTATTAATCACTTCCCTACCCCCCCCCTTTTATTTCTTCAGAGTAGGGAAGAGTGTAACCTCTGAGGTTACACACATGACTTTAGTTAAGTATATAAAGGGCTATTTGTAAACACTTAGAGATTATCTTCATACTTGCTTCTGTACTTAGGTCAACCTCTCCAATCCCAGATCTTTACCTGTTCTGTGTTCTTGAGTAAGGCTCCAGCCTTTACATAAGCTTATTATAATAATCTAGTAGTAGAATATTTAGACAAACACAAAATGTAGAAACTTATTACTTAGAACTACTAGTAGTTAAGAATGTAGAGGGAAATTCTAAAGTATATAAGTAGTTACAATATGTACTAATAGACTAAGGCCTACCAGACAAGGGTTTAGACTCTCTTACATTTGTATTAGATTCTAAATTACTCTTAGGAAGAAGTCTTAGTAAACCTGATTAGTAAGTTACTCAAGTCTTAGAGTTACAACACTATTTACATAATTGTCAATTAGTTCTCTAAGTAAGTTTATATAGTTCTAATCTGAACAGAACTTACTTCTGAAGGTATAGTATGTATTTATTAGAACTATATCTTCTAGTTGTATAAACTCTCTCAGAAGCTTATTCATAATTGTAGACTGTAATTCAAGTTAAAATTTATGTAAGACTTATACACACTTTTTAGAATCTAAGGGAACCCCTCTACTATATATTACTTATAGACTAATAGTTAAACTGAGTAAGTTAATCAAGAGATTAAACTCTACCTCTAAATATTTATTAATTATTAACAGTTAGACTAGTTAGAATAGTTAGTTCTAACAGAATTTGTGTACAATAACTAGTAGTACTCTACTATAGAACAATCTCTGTTCTTTCTTAACTATAAGAGGTATTTATATTAAGGAACTGTTCTAAGCTAGAACAGGAGTTCTGAATCTGTAACAGACTTTACAGAATAGATATACAAGACTAGAGAGAATGTATAAGCTCTTTTAGAAAAGATAGTACAAGTATTAGTAACAGTGTAGAGAGGACCTGAAGGCTTAGTAAGGAGACCCAGACTATAACTATCCTACACAACAGAAATACAGAACACAAGTACTAGAACATAATTAGAACTCACAGAACAGACAGAGAGAGAGAGTAAGACAAGTATAAGGTATATAGAGTGAGTCTAAGAGTACAGGACTACCTAGAGTAGACAAGATCAAGACTACAGGACTAGTCTGATCTTATACATATATATATACTAAACTATACAAGAGTACTTAGAGAATAGTAAGTTACTAAGAATAATGAGCTATAAAGAAATAAAGGAAGGGAAGGTTAAAGATAAATGTACAAAGAATAAAGGGATGGACAAACAGTAAGAGACTATAGAATGAACAAGGAATGAAGAAGTAGTCAAAGGAACAGAATGATAAAGTAAGGAGGGGTAGTAGTAAGAGTTAGTCTGTATATAGTTTATAAACAGTACTCCTAAAGGACAGAAGTCCTGAGTTCTAGTACAGAAGGGTACAGAACCTACAGAACTAAAGATCTGAGAGTAGAGGACTGTAACAACAAGTTATAAAACAGAACTATAATTAAAAGAGATCTACAGCTAAAGACTACTAGTTTAGTAACAAAGTAATACTAGAAGCTACTAATTTGACTATAGATTGTTTAATAAAGAAGTTAGACAACAAGTACTTTAGACTCTTTGTTATTAAGAAGAAGGTTAGTGTCTCTACCTACAAACTCTAACTCTTAACAACCTGAAAGTGTATACACTCAGTGTTTAACAAGGTTCTATTGTTTTAGTACTATAACTTAGGTTTTCCTTTATAACAAAGACTCCTACCACCTCTACCAGAACTTGTCAGTTCTAAACTAGAATACAAAGTAGAGTATGTAGCTAACACTAGGTTAGTGTATAGAAAGCTTAAATTCCTTATCTACTAGAAAGGGTATCTAGTTAAGAAACATACTTAGGAACCTATTAAGAATCTTACTTATACTACTAATATAATCTAGAACTTTTATTAACTTTATCTAAGTACTCTGTACTAACTCTACCTTATAGATTTCCAAACCCTATTGTTCTGACCTATGTCTGAGCTACTAACTAAGCTTAATGTTTACTAATTAGAATAATTGGTTCTAGAGAGAGAGTAATATTACAATCTACTACTCTTATACTCTCAGTTCTGTTAGTTCTATACTCTTCTGTCCTAGAACTCAGGTGTACTGTATATAGACTATATACAGGATAATCCCTACAGTAGCTCCTACTACTATTCCTCTCTACCTTGTTACTCTTACCCTTTGTCCACCCCTTTATTCTTTGTTTATTCTAAGGTCTTTTTCCTTTATCTACCCCTTTATTCTTTGTTTACATATCTTTGACCTTTTCACTCTTCATTCTTTGTAACTTATCATTCTCTAAGTACTCTTGTGTAGTTTAGTATATATACATGTATAAGATTAGACTAGTCCTATAGTCTTGATCTTGTTTACTCTAGATAGTTCTGTACTCTTAGACTTAATCTATATACTCTATACTTGTCTCACTCTCTCTCTCTGTCTGTTCTACAAGTTCTGACTATGTTCTAGTACTTATATTCTGTTATTTCTGTTGTGTAGGATAGTTGTAGCCTGGGTCTCCTTACTAAGCCTTTAGGTCCCCTCTATACTGTTACAAACAACTATAGTATGTTTAAATATAGAAAATGGCTAACTACTTGTGTACTACTTTTGTTTATAATCTAGAAAATAAGAAGGTAAGTAACACTTACTAAGTAGTTACTTATATAGATTGATTAAATAATGTACTAACAAGTTATAAGGATTAAAAGAATATTCTAGTATTCTTATATAAAGTTAGAATACAAGCTTTTCTCCAGCTATACTTGTAAGTAATAATTAAGTTACTATTACTGAAAGTTGTAACTTTGAGTACTACTACTCAAAAAGACATATTCTATCTAATATGCTAAAAGGAACTAACTAATACTAAAATACATTAGTAAAGATAGTAACTTGAATATATTACTTTAAGTCTGAACTAAACTACTTTCTTCAGATTAATATACCCTTTTGACACTTTTTACTAATTTATCTAATAATAAGGAAAGTTCTAACATTACTAATTTGTAGTCTTAAGTATGAGAAACACTAAAAGAATATATTTGCTATGTTGTTTAGTACTATATGTGTGAGTACATAACTAAATCCCTCTGTTCATAGTAGTTGTCACTCTTGTTCAGTTCTGGCCTTTTACAGAAGAAAGTTCTCTCCTTTCTTAAAACATTATACAGAAGTAACAGAAATAAACTACATATTACTAACTATTCTTAGTATGGACATCTTTCCCTAACAATACTTTTTCAAGCCAGAGTATACAGTCTTAGCTTGGTAGGGCATAGCAAAGTTACCAGGGACAAAGGGTTGTCAAAGTTGTGAGGCATCCTTAAGTTAGCTACTAGCAAGTCTCAACACAAGCTGCTTGTAAATGTGTCAATATAATTAGGCACAATGAGGATGATATGCAAGTGTAGATAGAGGTTGAGAAAAGCATCTTATCTAACACTGTAACCTCTTATGAGAGACAGTTAACTGCACTGTTCAGGAAGTGATCGGGTGATCGGGTTTCCTTGTCTTCCTCAAATAGCCTCTGTGAGTCTGTGTATATCCTACTTACCAATGTTTCCTTGGCTTATTTATTAATAATAACTTAACAGAAGACACTATTTAGTAACTTGTCCTAGCTACCTAGTATCACCTGGTCGTTCGACGTGCCACAAACATCAGGTACATCTCACATACGAAACATGGTGTTGTGAGTTGCTAGAGAACATTTAGGCTCCCCAAGGAGTAAACACAAGTATATTGAGGAACCCTATCTCACATGCGATACTGACTCTGGCGGAGGTAGGCACGACCAAAATATTCCAATCTATACAATAAAGCCATTTTTTGACAATATCAAACAAGTTATTATTGACGAAACATGTCGGATGAACAACCTCCTGTGCTTCTCATCGGAGTTTTCTTTAGTTTCGTATTTATTTAACATAGCGCGTACATGAAATCTCATTTCTCTCGTTTGCTGCGTCTACTTTGTATTGAAAGGGGATAAAACCTCTTGCGACTCAAGCTCACTTTAGATGTTGTCTGAAAGGCTATCTCTGGTGCCCTGAATAGACGTACTTTCCTCCGTTACGCGGCACCTGCTACTTTGCTTCAACGACGATGTAAGCATTTCAACATCTTAAATGCAATAATATAAAAGAATATCTAGTCGAGGCGGTTCTCTACCTGTTCTGTATAGTCCAGTCGCAGCTCGCCTTGCAGAATGCCTGCCGGTCCAAAGACTACCTGGGAAGACCTTTCCAACATCGGCTGGCCAATCCAGCAAGTCTACGATAAAGCAAATGAATCCCGTGGCCATACCATGCATGGGTTGAACGATTTGTTTTTGAATAATGGCATTGCCTCTCAATATCAGTTCGTAAAACTTGTCTAATTCTTGACTTTGGAACTGTCTGCTCATTGTTCGTTAATGACTTCATTTTTGCTCACAGATGGTGGTGCTACAATGTCGCCAAGGGCTCTCCTTCTGTCAAGGGCCACAATACGAACAGTGTCAATAAGGACGATACGGTATGGAGCTACAGTAACTCACAGAACTCCCAACCTTTCAAGACCACTTGGAGTGAAAAGTGGACTGAGTCCACTTCAGCAACGCTCTCGGTTACCAACAGTGGTCTGTCGATTATAGTAAAACTATGTGTATTGAAGAGATGCTCAACTCGAGATACTTCTGCATAGCTTCTATCTCACTCTCACAGTCCATAGAGATTCCCGAAGTGGGAGGGTCCGAGTTCTCTATTTCGGTCTCCACAGAAGATAATAAGAGCCAGACCAAAGAGAATTCCCACGAGCTGAGCAATACTTGGGACATAACGTAGGTCTTAGTGGCTATTTTAATTATATAGTCTCCCTGACTGTTTTGTATCCAGCGTTGGACCTCACGAGAAGGTCTCCGTCAAACGCACCATCACCACTACGACTGGCACTGCTGAATACGGCCAGGTATGCGGCCAGCGTTAAAATTCTTTGCATGTAACCTAACTAATGATCATTGTCAGCAATACGGAGTAGAAGGCAGCCTCGGCAGTAAGTCTCGATTTCCGTCTCCCTCTTCCAGTATCTAATGATATTTGCCTAAAGCTAAGGGTGACAAGTAAGTGGATAAACTCTATTGTCTCCCATTACTACTGACAATCTTTATCAGGTATCAGGACCATTACTATTGGGTAAGTCTATTAGGCAAGTGCCAGCTTTAGCAGTAATTAAATGTCCATCAGGACAGAGATGTTAATTCGCTCCTCGGAGCTCCTACCGGAACGATGACTCTCCAGGGCGTCTACACGACCACGAGTTACAATTACCAGCTAATTCGCGAAGGTCAGGATGGCAAGAAGCAAACCTCGCCTCTGCCTCGCCCGAAGAATTAAGTGCAAGCGAGCAGCATCGGCGGATTTAGTTATTTCACTGCCTCCGGAGGTTCAAGATATCCGTATCCGAACCACGAAGCCTCAAGTACCGGTGTAATTCTTATCTACCGATGTAATGTTCATGTGTCTCAATGCAATATGAAATTTGGTAGAGTGAGATCGGTGTTACCATCCGAGACTGAGTAACTCGTGCTCATACATCAGTAGTATTTCTGATGAGCTTCAACGGAGCTTGGAGACCTCGGGCGAGTCATTCCGGTTGATACTAATAAGCTGTGATTTAAGAAAGGGTTCGACAAAAGGTGCGAGATTCAATGTAATATCCAGGCGCCCGAGTAGGTACAGAAACTACCCTCAGCAGCTTATTGGCGCGCGCTTGCGAGAATTTTTCTAAGATCCCCCCCGGAGCTTGCTATTATCAAATGCGTTATAAATGGGGCGGGGTCAGATAGAAAGCGATTATAGTCAGGTCCAAGCGCTCAAGAATGTGTTCGGCAACTCAACTGGCGAGCTTGGTACTATTCACCCTAATGTTAAGAGAGTACTTCAGGTGCAATGAGGTTCATGCACGTTATTAATAAGACCCCAGGATGCAGTACACGAATACTGTATGATGAGCGTCTATTCCAAGGCAATGGGATACACCATGGGGGCAGTCTGAAATAGAAATAACATGTCATCGGGAAGCTCTTTAGTCCGTATCGATTAAGTAACTTCTGCGAGCTGATAGTTATAAATTTGGGTTCAGCCAAGGACGACTAGTGCTTGATCAAGAGGGACTACAATTAAACTTAAGTTATACCCAGATATTTGGACATGTCCCCCAACGACTTCATGTACCTTCTTCTAGAGGTAAAGGAACAAATCATTGTAGCATATAGCTGTATTTCTTGTTAGTAATTAATCATTTCGCAGTATCTTAAAATTAAACGGACAACATTCAAAGATTAGGTGATAAGAATCGACTGGTTAATTAATACACAATCGTATTCCGATCCTGAGAGTAATTTCGATATCATAATGATGGACTGCGACTAAAACGGAGGTTTCCCCTAACTTCAAGAAAGGACATACCATTGGCACGTTCTCGATCTTTACGTCCAGCGAATCTGCTCGCTGATTGCGGGCATGTGCTCACCACAAACTGCACGACGTATCCGACGGTATACCTTTTACTTACAATAACACACTATCGTCCAGATGGCTGGGCTTGCTTACAGTCATGGGCGTACAATATGTTTGCTTACTCGGTCGTGGCAGGCTGGCAGCAGCTGTTACTCGGCTATTGAACAATCATCGTTGACACGCCTTATTTTGAAGATTTGAACTGTAAGTACACAAAAGAGTACAGAATATACCTTCTATAGAGAAATGAAATGCCAAATGAAGCTTTTCATCAGAGATCATTTCCCTCGTTTGGACCATGAAACAAACGACCTGGTGCATGACGTCACGCGAACGCAACAGAATGACTGTAGCACGTGACTGTGTCTGGTCCAATTTGGCAGAAGTTGTGTCTCTGCGACCGACCGGATTGCCCAAAGGTTTGCCGATGCCCTCTTCTTTATCATTGCAGAGAGGACGGAATAAACTGTCACAAGAGACGTCGTGTATCCTGAGAGTAAGATAATGATCAGTGATGATAAGTGGCATCTGGCGAACAGGTTTGACGTTGCTGGAGTTCTTCTACACGGAGAGGTCGGTGATGTATTCTTTTCATCATTGAAACCTAACTGTATTTCATATTCAAGTATTGACTATTTCTCGTTAATCTTTGAAGACTACCCGTACTCCTCTGCGCTTAAGCATACTTCTCGGCAAGCGGATTTTTCGCGTCGTCGAACTTAAGCACCGTGCGCAAGAGCGCGTGATCGTTGTCTAGATCGGCCTCGTCGTTCTCGTTTCCCTTCCCCTTTCTGGCGTTCTCTTCCTTCGTCATGTATGCCGACACGGCAGCAGCGGTAAATACCTTTTCCTTCTTCAGTACGTCTTCTGGGTCCCAAACTAGATCAGACAAGGGAAGGCTGCCGTCCTCGAGAGATTGGGCAAGGACTGCGAGGTAGGAATAATCGTTCTCATCCCAGTCAGGGACCTTGGGGACTGGTATGTGATTGTGGACAACAGAAGCCAGCGCATTGAAGATGAAGCGTGTCGCTTTGTCGCTATGGCTCGATTGCCTTGGCAGGGCGAGCTCCGTAGCCTCGGTCTGAACGTCTGACGTAGCTTGCTGGTCGTACCGCACTGCCTTCGTATTCAGCTGTTGGAGTTGCGACTTGTAAGCCGTAAGTGTCATTTCCTGCTTTGGCTCGATGCTCCAATGCTGGCCGCGGTCATTCCTAGCGACGAGCTGCGTGCCCAAGGAGACAGTCCTTCTCAAGATCCACGTTCTGTTGTCCGTCCAGCTGGCTTGCTTCTGTGAGAATGTCGAAATGCCACCTGTGTCTGTGGGAAAAGGTATATCAGGGAGTTTCAACGCCGAAGTCATCAGAGACTTACTGGGTGAGACCAGCCCATTCACAACTGGAATGTCGGTTCCCTCCCGGACGTTGTCGAACCGTGGTGAAGTCGTGTTTCCTGAACGGTAGAGATCGGGATGCGACATAGCAATGGAGTGTGCTTGGTTACTGATGTACTTTCGCTGTTGAGATCTCTGGTACTTCGAGCTGATTTATACGCCGACAGAAACCAATGTTTATCCTATTACTTAGCGGCACTCGTTTCCGAACAAAAGACACGGGACTCGTGCATTCGTTCAGCTATCAGACAGTCGCGGGAAGTGCTTTGTCTTCCGTGCAAAAGGTGGATACCAGTTGTATCATGGGCGATAAGCACCGCGACTTTCGATGATATTAAAATCGGTTTCTGAATATCTCCGTGAACAAATCTAAGGGTCATGGGTACTGTCGTCTCCTGTAAAACGGTTCAACGAAATTTCTGACGTTTCAGAGTATTCTAGGGAGCAATTGTTATCGGGATGAACTCACCCAAGCGCTCCTATCTGTGCTCCAATGGGCACGTCCTCGCCAGCTCGCCCTATTGACATGTGTAATGTACGCGTATTGTTTAGTTACTTTGGTGGGAAGCTCATCCAGTGTTATCGTTCTCAAATGCGGCAGACCCTCAACGGCACAAGACCTTCTAAGGTACGTTATGTTACATTTGCTAGGGCTCCTGTCTGTGCTCCGGTGAGCACATTTTCGCCAGCTCGCCTTACTGACATGTGTAATGGACGCATATTATTTAGTTGCTTTGGTGGGAAGCTCATCCAGTGTTGTCAAATGCGGCAGACCCTCAACAGCACAAGACTTTCTAAGGTACGTTATGTAACATTTGCTAGACCAGGTCTAAATACATGATATTATAGGTTGGCTCTTTAATTCTTACCAGTTTATGGGTCCTACCATTTAAGTTATACAGAATACTAGATCTCACTTGAGCCGAGAATGTGCAAAGACAACCTTTGGCCCTGTGCATGTCATTACTCGAATAAGTAAGTAAACCGATCAATTGCCACGATGAAGCCACTCTGTTAAACAGCCAGGTTCAATAATGTCATGTGTATTGACTCCGCTTTATCCATATGAATGGATGCGAATTGTGTCTTCAGTTAGCGAGCTCCACATCACAGGGAATCATTTTTATCCCTGTACAAACTCCTCAAGAAGTGATTATGAAATAAACGTGAAATTCGGGGATTTCTCGTAAACGTTAGCCTAGGCACTCGGACAGTGGGCGATGACCGTCAACAATCCTATCGAAATGGCGGAGGGTGCGACATTTTCACATGTCTGAAGCTGGCGTCCACACTAAATACGGTGAATTGCATGTCGTTTCTTTTAAGTGAATTTCCCTAGCTGTACTACGCTGTGCATGTTACAAGCAAGTCCGTTAGACCATTTGGCGGTCGGTCACGTTTGCCACGACTCACAGGGGAGAATAAGACGAAATGCGTTCAGGATAAGATTTAATTGACGTATAAAATGGAACAGCTCACTGGGTGAGGGCTTCTATGCATAATCGAAGAATAGCATCAGTGATTGAGGTAATGTACAAATGATTAATTACGAATTACTCAATTCCGTACTTGCATTGTTTTCAGCTGTTACAGGCTGAACGAAGATATTGCGGGCCGGGGAAAGTGCAATTAGCTGAACTCGATTGCTGTACAAAACATGAATGGAATGATCTGATTGCGGGTTATACATACGGAGGGCAATACATCATCCCCCAACCCCCTTTAGCGATCCCAGTTCCATGTGAGAAGAATGATGCCGTTTCGTGGCAAGCTTCAGTTCTTGTGGCTGACATGCAACTTCCCGACGAACGTTGGCCCGCACATTGCGTCTTCCGATATACACATGTTACTGGCAATAATAACTGTACAGTTCCAGTTGAGAAAGCTGTCTTATGTAACGTTTCTACGCGAATATAAAAGAGTTCTGTACTGAGATGAACTTCTACAGCACTCGATTTATTCTCGAAGCTATTCGCAACATGTCGCGTCCTAGAACCTCTTGGGAAGACCTCTCCAACCTCGGCTGGCCAATCCAGCAGGTTTACAACAGAGCAAATGCAGAGCGTGGTTACACTATGCAAGGGCTCGGCGATATCTTTCTAAACAGTGGCATCGCCTTAGATTATCAGTGAGTGAATGTCATGGACCCTTGCTTTCTCACTTTCGCCTGACCATTATGATACTTCCATCGTTTCTAATCTTAGGTGGTATTGCTACAATGTCCTCAAAGGCGAACCGTATGTGAAAGGCCAGGCTGTCAACAGTATTTCTCAAGAGACGACGGTTTGGAGCTACGACAACTTGCAGAACTCACAGGATTTCACCACAAACTGGGGTGAGACCTGGACTGAGACTAATACAGCAACGCTGTCAATTACTAACAGTGGTACGTACACTCTACATTAATACACTATAGAATGCTGGATTCAAGAGACTTGTTATTTCAGCGCACATCAGTCTCAGCCAGTCCATCACGATCCCGGGAGTTGGGGGATCCGAGTTCAGTATCTCGATCAGCACGGAATCGACTCAGAGCGAGACAAGGGAGCGTTCGTACCAAGTAAGCAACACCTGGGACATAACGTGGGTCACAAACTCTCCTGATATATGGACTACGGACTTCGCTTACATTTGTTCAACCAGCATTGGGCCCCATGAGAAAGTGTCTATCGTTCGTGAGCTTACAACTACTACTGGAGTTGCCGAATATGGCCAGGTACGAAATTTTACAAATCTAACATGCATTTTCTGAACCGTAAAACCAGAGATACGGAGTGGACGGCAGAATTGGAAGTATGTACACAATTTCTTGTACTTCAGTTACTATGGTCTTACTATATTTCACCTTTAGCTAAAGGAGATAGGTATGCAAGTTATTCAGAGCGTTTTCATCATTATTGACGGTTGAAATAGGTACAATGATCATTACTATTGGGTAAGCTTTATTCTTTCATCGTCCCAGGTAGACGCTGAAACACTCTTCAGGGGATGGATGTCAACTGGCTGCTTAACAATCCTTCCGGAGAGATGACCCTCAACGGCATTTATAGGTCGACGAGTTACCATCACAAGATTATTCGTGAAGGACCCAATGGAAAGAGGACTGTGGAACCACTTCCCGACCCAAGTGTCGTCACGGAGATTATAGGAGACAATGAGCGCAAGGAGATTCGCTACATGGTTTATGGAGACGAGTAATCACCTGGCCAGCAATGCTCTGGCACAGTCAAGAAGGGACAGTGCGGTAATTGTGCGCTTGTCATGATGTTAAACGTAATAGTGAAATTGAATGAATATTAGAATTGAAAGAAATCAGCGATTTGATCTTCGTGAATCGTTATGCCCTTGATAGCACCTGATATTCAGCAGGTCAAGAGTGTCTGGGTAACAGGCATTCTGCAGACAAATATTAAACAGTAATTGACACCTGTTATAGGAAGACTTTAATAACTTGTTCTCTTTGTAACAAAGAGGTTCTGGCATGGTGAGTTTGAACGTTCAGTGAACAGCCAGTTTTGACTCTTGAGTTCAAGAGAGCAAAGTGATGACGTCACGCACATTATCCAGAATGTTCGCCACGTGACGCAAGCGCGATATTTAGTGTTGATTCCGCCTCCTAACTTTACCTCCTTCCGCAGTGTGAATGTGAGTTTGCTCTTCAAGTACTAGATTGCATTCTCAAAGTGTAGCGATATGGCTAATAGCTCGTGGAAAGACGGAATCTTACTCAAGGCTCGTGTCGAAATATTTCGAATTAGGATAGTTCTCTGACTATGCGATCATACAGATTTTGAACGTCGTCGTTTACTTCTTGTTCCTCGGTTCAAACATATATTCCGTCGCTATCCCAAAAGGTTCTTACCATACAGGCAAGGAAACCTTTTTCACACCTGCTCCTTATGCTTTCACTATTTGGTCCGTAGTTTTACCAGTTGCAATCCTTTGCATGCTCATGTATAATCGCTACAGGTCACTCATTCATGTTCTGCTGCTTGGGTTCATCGTATATCAATTCTTCCCAAGTGGAAAGCGTGTGATAATCGATGGCGTCTCATGGCGTTTCCCATTACTCGCCGTGCTTAACGCAATTTATATCAGCCTTTGGTCCCACCAACGATACGTCGCGTCATTCTTCTTCGCGCTGTTCGTTTCGTCAGCCGTGACGCATATTTACTACATTGTTCGTCGCAACCACGCGAGTACCAAGTGGGCGGATGAACTCTTCATTCATCTCCCCTTCTCACTGTATCATGGTTGGACGACTGTATTGGTCGTGCTATCTCTGTTCGAGGCTTTCGGGCCTGACGCAGCTACTCATCGTCCGGGTGCCTGGACTTATGTCTTCGTATTTTTAGGAAAGTTTCTGGTCTGTTGTCTTCAAATACGTGCTCTTATCAAATCTTCCTTATCCAGGACTGTTCTTCCTCGAAGCTACGGCAGCGACATACGCGTTTTCTGCACCTGAGGGCGACCTTGCCGGCTCCGTTGCAATTACTTGGGCGCTGTTCGCGATATTCACGCATCAGAGGAGCAGTGCGTTCATTCACTGGTGTGCACTCGCGTTCGCATGCCTGAGTTTGTTCTGGATCCTGAAGAGTTTGTATGGGCACTTAACGGCGCATAGGAATGGGAACGCGGCTGATGATGAGGAGCGTGCTCCGCTCCTTGACCCGTGACTTTTCTGACATTTAATTTCGTTGGTATCTAAGTCCTCGGACAATTATGTCTCTTTTTGTTCCTATTGCACGTTCTCAATTTTGCGATTTGTTCCGCTCCAACTTGTTCCTGGCCTAATCGCGGGTGAGGATGTATCATACGCGCTTTTTGAATACATTTTAGGTTTTTCGTTAGAATTAAACGAAGGATGTGGTGAACACGGAAGCATCTAGTGTTTGATCTTAATTAATCTTGGCAATTTACGTAAATATTATTAAAATAACGCGTTGAAATACTCTGAAATATATTTAGGCGTTTCTCACTCAGCCACCACAATGCTCTGACGCTTGTTGGCAAGGTTGATTGCTATGCAGAGCTGGAGTGGCCATCTCAGTACCGTACCAAAGTGCGCGTTTCACCACCCTTGGGCTCAGGAGTGCGAGTATGTATGGCTTGCGACAGCCCCGTCTAACACTTCAATGAGTGGTTTCATGCTTTTCCGTCGTGCCCGTTTTGCCGTAAGCCACGCCTCTCGCTTGACCATCCTGGTCTTCCCTTCAAATTCGGAGACTATAAAACTCATGCATCCGCGGTCTTTCCATTTTTTCTTGCGTACTTTTCACTCTTCTCGGTCTTTCTCCAATTTACTTGAGGAGTGGCCAGGTATAAGAGAAGAGCCTAAACATCGCCGGTTCTGCTCCTCATCCTTTTTGTTACGGAGAAGCTAGTATGGCGGCTTCGTACAGAGATATCTCAGGTCCCGTCACTTCTCTCACCATTGTAAGTCTTCTTCTGCCGCCCATAACTTTCGATGTCGATTCTCGAACTTTACCTTTAAAAAACTGTCATTCCGCAGTTCAACATCAAACCCGAGTTCTCAGACGCGGTGGAGACGTACATGGCGAATGACGTGGCTGACTTGTTGCGCCGGGCGAAGGAAGGCAAAGTACCGGGGTTCTTGCATATTGAATGTGTGAGATATGGAGATACGTTCGCCTCGTGGGAAAGGTACTCTGACCCGGACGCCGTGGAGAGGTGCGCAGACTTCGTCCATTCGTTTCTCTTTTCTCTTGCTTTGTGATCAATTAAAACTGACTGGCTTGGTTGTGATGTTGGGATTTTTAATTCTGCTGCTTCGCTAATAAAGGTAAGCAGACTCCGTCATTTTTTCTTTTACTTTGTGATGAAGTAAAACTGATTGACTTGATTGCGTTTTGGGAATTTGGCACTTTGCTGCATCCGTAATGGTGCTTAAATTTTTTAAAATAACTTCGCTGAGCAGAGTCATACCTGTACGATACATGGCGTTCAAGAACCATGCGTTGGCGGAGTCCTTTGCTGGAGTGCGTGAACAGACTTTCTCGCTTGGCCGAGTCTAATGAGCTTTCTTATTGTTTGCCTGATCTTTGGCAGGAACCGATTATCCATTTCTTTCCGACAGACTCGGTCCCGGTGCCGAAAAAATAGAAGATTCCCGCGCTGAGCCCGAGCCCGATCTCGGACCTCGGATGCAAATTCGAAATCGTTATATCCGGACCCTAGATTCGATTGTTGCTCATGCATTATTGCTGCGCGGAACCTTTTTTCGGTGACCTCTGGGAGTGGATTCGCGGGCAGCGAGGCAAATGAAATCGTCGGAAGATAATGGTATAGACACATGACAGATAGTCTTAGCACGTCGTGCGTCAAATGTGCTTGGATGTAATATTGTACATATCCCGCCATACCTATGAAATAGGAAAAATTGCATATTTTCATTGGACGAATAGACTCGCCACCTTTCAAACTGACTTTTTTTTTCGCATCCGCTCGGCCTGCATGTAGGGATGACGCAATGCGCGGCAAGCAGGCTTAAAAACGGAAGGAAAATTGCTTGTTCATACTATATTGTGCGCTCGACATTGACATTTGGGGCTTGACTTAACTGCGATCCTGTACATTTGCGCAGCAGTTTCGATAAATATATACTATGGATCACTGTAAAGGATGCAGAAGTACCTTTTCAGTTAGCAGAAATTTGCAATTTGTCCATCCAGGAACTTTGTTCCTTATTGTAGTTTATTCGTAGCCGTTCTTCGCTCCCTCGGGATCTATGGATTTGCGCTGGCCGTGCGAGTTTTCGGTCAGCTAGGCAGGTATATATACATCGGACAATATACCTTCTGCACGGGGTACCTTCTACCGCAGAAGGCTGCTCGTGACGACCGTACTCACCCTCCGTCGATTGGTTTAGCACAGCGATTATCAAGGAAAACATAACTGTATCCCTCCGGTTCCTCGAGTTCATCAAGCTAAAAATGGCAACATCATATAAAGACATCACAGGACCGGTTACTGTTCTCTCAACAGTATGTTCTTTTCGATTTTCGTCTAAGTTCATTCGTAATCCGAAGTCATTCCTGGCGCAAATTGCAGTTCACTTTAAAGCATGAATTCGCCGATCGAGTGGCACAGTACATGGCAGACGACATAGCAAATCAGACGCGCCTGGCAAGAGAAGGAAAGCTTCCAGGGCTGATTTCCATTGAAGGAGTACGATTCGGGGATTCATTTGCTTCGTGGGAACGGTATGCATATATTTTTATTTTAGTATTTTCTATCGATATTATTGCATGTCGCGTTTTAAATGTTTTGCTTCTGACTTACGATGTTTGACAGATACACAGATGCTGGAGCAGTTGAGAGGTGAGCAATTAATTATTCCCTAATTGTACCAAATGTATGATTCGGTTTGCCTTATTTCCTTACTATGCTAAAAATCCTTGTTTGCGACAACGAAAATTCGCGCATACTAGAGTCATACCAGTGCGATACAAAATCTTCAAAGATTTGCCACTCGCTGAAGCATTCTCCGAGGTGAGTGAATTATGCGCTCACAAGTTGATTGGGTGTGCACTAAGCCTCTGTCGTTATTCGTATTTACCGGATTCTAGCCTCCAAACATTCAGTTCTTTGGGACAAACTCTCTTCCACCACCACAAAGCTAACCGACACGGAATGTGTCAGATATCGAACCGTATAAATCATACAAACGTGTACAACAATTATTAGACACAAAAACCCGCCGCCCATCAGCTCTTACTATATACCTTCAAGAGAATTCGATGTCGCTTAGAGTCGGTACCTTGTAGCTTGTTCCCATGTTTTGTCCACGTTCTCCGGCTTCCTTCAGATTAAACAAGAGGCGGCTACCAAGAATGCACAGTAGTATAGGGCTTCCCAGCTCGCTGAGGACAAGGCCGACCACGGGATTCGGACCAAGGTATTGGCTCGAGATAATCAGTGACAGGAGGCTGAATATCGTTCTACACTTGTATCAGCAAGTTGAACGCATTTACAGCTAAAGATAGAACATACAAAAGGAAATAAATAGCCTGATCTAAAATGAGAACTTTGACAAGTCCAAGGCCTTTGATGCTCGCGGAATCCCTCCAATATTGTGAAGCCTTGTAGAGAGCTAGGAACATCAATAGGAGTCCGTTTATCATTGGCAGAGACCTATGTAGAATCAGTCTCTGGTCGATATAACAATAAATTTATTAACTCGCCAAGGTATAACATTAGCCCACTTAGGTAAGATTCTGAAGTCTCCGCACAGCGTGTGTTTATCATCCAGTATACCAATAGCCACTGAAATGATGTCAGATGACTATCGACTAACTGGTGTGACTAGACGTACATTCTGCATAAACGTTCTTAGCAATAACTGCAGCAAGAGTAGCCGCTGACTCGAGTATAAAAATTGACTTGAGAATATAAGATAGAGCACGATCTGATCGTAACCGATTAGTGTTGCGAGTTAGCTACTTGATAGCACGAGAACGTACTGTGCATATAGAGCGCAAGGACACGCAAAATAAGAATATCTATAATAGTGAATATTAAGTTGCGGATGGCCTTCACACTCTCGGTACTAAATTATATACAATCGATCGACATAATAATTATCCAGTCTGCAAGAGATGATTGGCGATTTCGTTAGGCAAAATAGCTCGCGCGATACTCACCACCGAGACCACAGACCCAGGCGATTGTCGTACCTGATCTCCCAGTTTAGATACGTTGTATCCATCAAGGTTAACTAAGGATACGCACATCTAAATAAAGTAAATTCTTTGGCGAGGGTACTGCAGATGGAAGGAAAAGGCAAACTTACATGGCGTGATTCACATGGAATGTGAACGCTGTGTCGATATAAGACCCCAGATCGCATCTGCAATGGACGTTGTATGCTTACTAGCAAGACCCAAAATCGCAGTTACCAACCCGATATATCGATTCTGTGGGGAGTGGTATTATGTCGTCTGTGGTTTTTAGGCGGTGTTTAATCCTACCGCAAAGAATATAATATGAACGGAGTTCATGGAACGTTTCTGTATGATAAATAGTATTTGACTCCACAATGTACACGATGCCAGCAAGCAAACACGCACCCAGAAATACTTGGCCTGGTCGTGGGCATAGGTAATGAGACTCTGCACAAGGAGTCAACAGTAAGACATACTCACTTCCTTATCTAGTGTTATGACTAGAAAAGGCAGAAAAGATGAAATCTGCAAAATCGATTTGTGCATCTACAACGACGGACGCACGGATGTCATAGACCAAGAGACAAGTAACGATCACCTGCAAGTACTCCGCGTCGACAATAGATGTGAACATAGGCACTATTTGTTCAACATCAGGCTCAAAGCTTGAAGGGGCTCGACTGGCGAGCATGGTCGTGATCTGCGGGCAATATGTGTTGAGTTAGAGAAGTGGATGGATACAGGTGGTAGATGAAAGCGCAGTTTATATACTTGCGCTGGTAGTCATTCGAAACTTAAACCTTGAAAACGAAATCTGATTCAGTATATGTCGATTGGGTATGGTAATCACAAAAGTCTCCGCAACCTCATACAGCTTGCAGGTGATGATCAAAAGAAGAAGCTGACCGGCACCGTAGCTGTATTGATCAAACAACCCCTTATCACCCAACCACAGATACCGATCGTACTTCTTCATCCACAATCAACCTCTTTTTTTGTAGCTGTGGCTTCATCAAGCATATTTGAGTTAAGGCCTCAGCCGGTCTGTTGCCGTGTTATTCTGATCGCGATGAAGCATCACACCATGTCCATCTCTGATCTCAGAATCTCCATGGGTGAGCCAGCTACCGTCAGGAGGCGAAGACCTTCGCGCATGGTGAATAACAGGTAGCTTTCTTGCACGGTCGAAAAGTGATCTATCAGACACTGATACGTGTTGCAACAAATCAGAGATAAAGCCGGTTTAAGACCTTGCTTTTTGAGTCTTCCGGGGGCGTGCACACTGGTGTCTTCGAAATTATGGCTATTCCAGACTCAGTCCCAGGAGGGCATTGTGGAAGGAATGAAGCGTTTCCGGTACCACAGGGGATGGATTGCGAATTCCAGAGGACCGTGACCGTGTGAATTAATTCACGTGCAAACGCATGTTGAGAATTCAAGAACTTGAAACGTTTACCTCAGGCCTTATCAGTCTCGGGTTAGTGAAAGTACCCGACATTTTAAGCTTATGATCTGTAGGCTTGTATTAAGAGCTGGAACACTAAGCTGCTTTGTCGCACCATGCTGGCGAAGGACAGTCTAGATCAAATGATAAAGTGGATGGACCCATTAAACAACATGCTTCGAAAGAACTGTTCTCATTTTGGTGTAGTGGGCCGTGGCTACTGTGCTAGTTTAATCATAGAAATTTAGGTATGGATCTCACGAATGCATAAGCTCTTCTTAAGATAAGGACCAGGTGACACTGTGTGGCTTTATTCATGTACGTATTAGTTGGCTCTATTGTCCTTATAAACCTCGGGCATGCGAATGGTATCGTCTATCGCTTTTGCTAATCATGTTGCCCATACCTATCTCACAATTACTGAAAAGAACCTCATCTCTTAAGCATACCATAGCAGTTACTCCTGCTGTATGTAGGAGATTGTCAACGTCAGCCGTGCCACGCTATCCGAGGTCTGGGTCACCCTCCTCTCATGGCCCGGTCGGTGTCGAAGCGGCACTTCTTGCTGAATCGGATCCGTCCTTCAAACCTAGGCCTACGCTACTGCAGAATGAGTTCTCACTCTCAGGTCGTGTTGCAGTGGTCACAGGAGGACAACGGGGTCTGGGTCTCGAAATGGCGGAGGCTCTTACGGAGGCTGGTGCGACAGTGTATTGCCTCGACCTGCCCAGTCAGCCGGACGAGTCATTTGGCGCGACGCAGAAATACGTATCAAAGCTAGGACTATCCGATAATGCACGACTTGAATACGCGTCTGTTGACGTAACAGACCAGAAGGCCATCTGGGACGTCGTTGGGAAGATTGCAAAGAAGGAAGGCCGCCTGGATGCGTGTGTCGCTGCTGCGGGTATCTTAGTTGCGGAGGAGTGTCTAGAGCATTCAGCAGAAGGGTTCGAGAAGCAAATGAATGTGAACGTGAATGGTGTTTTGTACACCGCCCAGGCTGCGGGCCGCCAGATGGTCAAATTTGGAACTCCTGGAAGCATCGTTTTGATCGCATCTTTGAGTGGCAGTGTCACCAACAGGGTGAGATTATTTGTATCTAAATAATTATCGCGTGACATTGACCTCATGATCTATTACAGGATCAACACTGCGTTGCATATAATTCAAGCAAGTCCGCTGTTATTCAGATGGGTCGGAGCTTGGCCTGCGAACTCGGACCGAAGAACATTCGTGTGAACACTATCTCACCAGGGTATATACTTACAAAGTCCGTTGCTTTAGATCTTAGTGGGAGACCTTACTCTGATGACAGTTTTGTAGCATGACGAAAGCCTTTCTCAAGTCTCAGCCAGGACTTATCGACTTCTGGGCGGATATGAACCCACTTCGTCGAGTTGGACGACCGGATGAATTGCGGGGTGTAGTCACCTGGCTTACTTCGGACGCATCGAGCTTCTGCACCGGCAGCGAGTGCGTATTACCTCCATCTTATTATCATGATGCTATAATAATGGACGCGCTTTTCAATCGCAGCATCTTAATTTCTGGCGGTCACCATTCGTGGTAGCATGACATGCTTTGTTTCTCCTTCCACCCACTGGTTCTGTGCGTCCTTCACAGATTCATGTTGATGAACTCGTTTTTTGTGCAGTTGCAATGTAGAATCAGTCTCAAGGTCTTATCTAACGGAGAAAATAAACTATTGGATATGCAAATCGGCCCATCACCGCGCATAGGATCAGATGATTGGCTGGATGAATTACAGAATGCACGGACGTATGTCCCAAGAGCTCACCCCTTTCGCGCGAATTTGTATTTGTTTATGAGCTTTATTTATTATTCGATATTCGTCGAAGTTTTCGTAAAACGAATGTAATTACCTAAGATACATATTATATAATGTAAAGAAAGGTCACGCACGGTTTCAACTTTCGACTTTCGCACAACTCCTCATCCCTGTTCATTCTCATTAGTCTCATCCATCCTCTTCTTGCGTCCATGAAATATGTCTCATTTAGCTTGTTTACACTGCCTAATGTTGGGTACAATACATAGTGAAATACCCAGGTTAGAGAAGGTAAGCTTTGTAAAAGTTTTCATACATGTTTATTAGATTGCTTAGCTTAGAAATCTCTGACCCAGTGCAAGCTGGCTGATCTTTCGGACCGTGTCTCGATAGGCTTCAATTCCCGGATCCAAATCGAACCAAAGGAATAAGTCTTCTCAAGGAGATAGAAGCATAGCTCTGTTCATCAATTTACGGGAAGACCTTCTATTCTGCCAGTTGCACGCAATCGCCCTTCGCATAAAGTGCTCTTAAAATCTCAACGGAAGGACATGGTTCTCTAGTTCTCCCATGTCAGCCTCTCTCAGAAAGCTCCTGCATCGTAGGTGCCTTCAAGTTCCCGGATCTTCAGTACACAGATGGTTCTCTGTTTCTTCACTGGCACGCAATCCGAATCTCCGTTCGACTTCTCCTCATGGTCCGATTGGCGTTGAAGCAGCGCTTCGTGCGGCCTCAGACCCATCATTCAAACCTGTACCTACGTTATTGCAGAAAGAGTTTTCGCTTGCAGGCCGAGTAGCAGTCGTAACTGGCGGACAGCGTGGCATCGGCTTAGAGACAGCTGAAGCGTTAGCGGAGGCGGGAGCCACGGTGTATTGTCTCGACCTGCCCTTGGAGCCAGATAAGTCTTTCAGTGCCACGCAAGAGTACGTTGCGAGACTTGGTTTAGGGGATGGTGCACGTCTTGAATACGCGACTGTGGACGTGACAAATCAGAAGGCGATCTGGGATGTCGTTGAGAAGATTGCTGAGAAGGAGGGTCGCTTGGACGCATGTATTGCCGCTGCGGGCATATCGGCTGGCGAAGAGTGCCTTGATCACTCCGCGGAAGGTTTCTCGAAGCAGATAAACGTAAATGTGAACGGTGTCTTTTACACGGCCCAGGCTGTCGGCCGTCAGATGGTCAGATTCGGTACTCCTGGCAGTATCATTTTGATTGCCTCAATGAGTGGAAGTCTCATGAATAGGGTAAGCGGGTTGTTGTCTTTGGCCGCTAGTACGTGATAATTTATCTTGTGACCAATAGGATCAAAGTATTATCGCCTATAATACAAGCAAGGGTGCTGTGTTACAGATGGGCCGAAGCCTAGCCTGTGAGCTTGGTCCGAAGAACATTCGGGTGAACACGATTTCGCCAGGCTACATTTACACCTAGTACGGTCGTGCTGCGCTTTTCTAATAAAAAATATTGCACTAACATCTCGTCTGAAGTCTTACAGCTACAGTCATCAATCAACAACCACATCTCATGCAGAAATGGGGATCCGAGAACCCACTTAATCGAATGGGAAGGACGCACGAGCTCCGTGGAGTAGCTGTTTGGTTGGCGTCAGATGCGTCGAGCTTTTGTACAGGAAGCGAGTGCGTCATTTTTCTCTACTTTAATGACTATGCCTCGTTGACAATTCATAAATAGCATATTGGTTACTGGTGGTCATCATGCATGGTAGACAAAGATGTAAAAGTCGTGACTTCCTTCGCTAGTATTTTCCAGAGTCTCTATTTATGAAGTGGCGTGGAGGAGCCTCTCGTATTTCATTTGCACGGTGTATCGGTGTTGATATGTATAGAGACAAACCTCAAGAAGTGCATAACCCCCGTTCCTGGCACCCATTAGTTGTATGAGCTCTGTTATCTCCTTTCCCTTCATCGAACCAGATGGGCCAGACAAAACGAGGTTAACGTATTCTACGCACTCGAGAAAGAGTATTGCAACGAGAAGCGAGAAAGCAGAATAAACAGCGTGCATTTCATGAATATATGATATATGCCGTATGTGTCCAGAGACATGGATTAGAGTAAGGAAATGAGTATCACGATGAAGCTGGTTGCATGTTGGAATTTCTAAGGCTTCTAGTCCAATTTCGAACACAATAAAAGAATGACTCAGTTTGATCCAGTTTCAAGCTCTCAAAAGGATGAACGTGATTCACTCTTTCCGTTAGCCGTGCATAAAACAGGGCAACGTCTTCGGAAATCCACTCAACAGTTTCAGGTGGGTTATTCAGTTAGTTGGAAGTTGTTTTAAAATTTACAAGGCACTGTCCACTGATTACGTCACCAGATGTCGAACCAGATCTTCACTGTCGGGTCTTTGTACATTGCTGGCTTTACCCAAGCGCGTTCTCCACACATTGCGTTCATCATTCCCACAGACACCAAGTCTGGCCGCGTTGTACACATTCGGATAGACCATGCCACTTCTCCTACGTGGGCCTACCAGTGTAGGTCGGAAAAGATAGAGGGAAATATGTTCCTATCGTCGCTTCTGAAGATTCACGACGCAAGCAAAGGAGAACTCACCATCTCTCAACTTGAAGATGTTGCAAAGACTGTTCATGTGCCCGAGAACGATGAGTTCGGAGAATGTGGTCCCTGGGTGTTCAGAGTCGTCGAGGAACTGCATAAGTTCGGGCTGGTGGTGCTGCTCGACGGGGAAAGGCTCAGTCAGGAGTTTGCCGCATTTGCTGGGGAAAGTGCGGAATTTGCCCGACGGGATAGGTTTCCTAATGTTATGGTCTCACAGTTCTGCTCGTAGATCTTGAAGTCCTCGTTATTGTATCTTACTTAACAATCATACCACAGGTTCATCTTTCGGGCATCGCAAAACCTTGAGACAGGTCTGGACGAGTTTGGCTCCATAATTGAAAATCAATCCTTCGAGTCTCAAAGTCCTCAGCGTTCATGTACGACATTAGTTTCTTCTGATCGAGAAAATACGGAGGAGTGATCAGGTGTCAGTACTTCTTCACGGTTCTTAGACAGCAAAACCGTGGGGACTGCTTTTTCAGCTTATACCTAACTCCAAAGGGATAAATAGTATCGAAATCGGTGTGGGAGTTGGGTCAACAAGGAACAATTTACAAAGTAACAGGGCCCTACTTTGATGACCACACCTCGTTGATGATTCATACAGAGCATATCGGTTACTAGTGCTGTCATGCATGGTAGACGAAGATGCACTGATCCTGACTTTTTTTTTGCTGGCATTTTCTAGACGCGTCGGAGCCTATGGTGCGTCAATTCCTTCATTTGCATAATGTTTCACTGTTGGTATGTAAAGAGACATGCCTCAAGAAGTGGGTAACGTGTGTTCCTGGTATTCGTAAATAGCATCCCGCTAGGAGAATGATACAAGGTAAGTATTACAATTATGAGCTCTGGTGCCTTTTTACTTTTCATCGGACCAGATGGACTAGGTAAAGCGTGGTTAACGCAATTTACGCATTTAAGTTTAACTGCGGAATGGTGACTGTTGGTGTTAGGTCGCATTGTCAGTGGCGTCTGGTGAATAGGCATAAGCGCCTACAAGAGTAAATAAGCCGGTAAGGAGGAGCTGTCACCTTACCTATGCCTATCAATGACTTTTACGACGATGCCACAGCACAGCCCAACAGCACACCCGGTCTCAATTCATGAACCAGTCGGTGTTGAGGCGGCCTTCTGCGCTGCAGCGGACCCTTCCTTTGAACCAAGGCCTACACTATTTGAGAAGGAGTTTTCGCTTGTAGGCCGGGTCGTAGTTGTCACCGGAGGACAGAATGGACTGGGTTTGGAAATGGCTGAGGCACTCGCCGAGGCCGGAGCAACTGTCTATTGTCTCGATCTCCCTATAGTACCGGACAAGGCGTTCCATGTCGCGCAAGCGTACGTCTCGAAACTTGGATTGGCCGGAAATGCACGCCTTGAGTACAGATCTGTAAACGTGGCCGACCAGAAGGCGATCTGGGACGTTATTGAGATTATTGCGGAGAAGGAAGGCCGTCTAGATGTGTGTATTGCAGCCGCGGGGGTCCTAGTGGCAGAACCGTGTCTTGAACACTCCAAGGAAGGCTGTCAAAGACAGTTCAAGGTAAATGTGGACGGTGTTTTCTATTCCGCTCAAGCTGCTGGTGGCCAGATGACCAAGTTTAGAGTACCAGGAAGTATTATCTTGATCACTTCAGTGAGCGAACATCTCATAAACAGGGTAAGATGAATGTCCATCATTCTCGGAAAGACAATTTATCTATCATCGCTTCAGAATCGGTCCTCAACTGCATACAATACGAGCAAAGCCGCCATCTTACAGATGGGCCGAAGCCTGGCGTGTGAGCTTGGGCCAAAGAACATCCGCGTGAACACAGTATCGCTGGGGTACATAAATACCCCGTTCGTGTTTGCTTTGGCTTATTGGCACGTATACTAAAATTGCTCTCCAAGTACTACGGAAAAAACGACTGAGGCGCAACAACAGACCTGGGACCAATGTAGCTCGGAAACCCCATTAGGAAGTATGGGGAAGCCAAATGGGCTTCGTGGCGTAGCTGTTTGGCTAGCATCAGATGCTTCCGCATTCTGCACTGGCAGCGAGTACGCCACTTCTTCATTTTTGCGTGATATTATTACTCATAATTCTATGCTTAGCATCATGGTTACCAGTGGCACGCAAGTATGATAGTCCAGGGTATTATAGTTAGCCATGGATTATTTTCATGGAATGTTCAGCCTTTTTCTAAAACAAATTGTACGGTTGCGAGAGAGCACCCTCGTTAATTACTCGTCTTGTGTCCTGCATCTCTTTGGATCACTGGAATAATTCCATGTCGTAGTTGAGAATCAGCCTTCATGTTTGCGAGCCTCGGATTGTTACTTTGTCTTGCTGACCAAAGTTAGCAGCACGTGATCCGTTTATTTCTCCATTTAGACGAACTTGCAATGTCGATCCTCGTTTTCATTCCTTCATGGGATTTCATATTTTCCTTTCGATCTCGCGCTCATAAGCGATAAGAAAATCGATATTAAGTCTCAGTAGAATACACTGAAGCAGGTCATTATTTAGCTCTCATGATTCCTTGTAGAATACATGAAAAGGACCCTCCTGGCTTTAAGAATGTCAGTTTGTTCTGTTTCACAATCCATCTGTCTCACCATAGTCTGATGTCTGGGTCCTTTTCATTTCCCACGACCTGAAAAGGTACAAAGTTACATCTTAAGGGGATATAAAGGTATATAATACAGCGCCACAAATTATAATACAACAGTTAACTTTTCTTGGGACTCCGAGTCAATGTCAATTTGCATGCCCTGACAGTCAAAGTAATCATTTGAATCAGGTTCTGAAAACGAAAAAATCAAGTGCCGTTGCTGTTAACCATGTCTAAGCTTGTATCAGCGTTTGTCAAGAGGAACTCTCTAGTCAAACATATTCCAGCCAGAAATTTGCTTCCATGTCGGCAGTTTTCCACCACATCCTTGACACATAGTCCGAAGTATCAATCCAATCTCTCGCATGGACCAATAGGTGTTGAAGCAGCTCTCCGTGCTGCATCGGATCCATTTTTCAAGCCAAAAGCCACATTATTTAAGGAGGAGTTCTCACTTGTAGGTCGAGTAGCAGTTGTAACTGGAGGGCAGCGTGGCTTGGGGCTGGAAATGGCAGAAGCACTAGCAGAGGCAGGAGCGACTGTGTATTGCCTCGACCTCCCGTTCGAGCCTGACAATACATTCAGAGCCGCTCAATCATACGTATCAAAGCTCAGACAAGCAGGCAACACAAGACTGGAGTATACATCTGTAGATGTAACGAATCAGGTAGAAGTGTGGAATGCAGTGGAGAATATTGTTAAGAGGGAAGGACGCTTGGATACGTGCGTTGCTGCTGCAGGCATCAGAGTTGCAGAGGATTGCCTCGCTCATTCTGCTGAAGAATTCCAAAAGCTAATGGATGTAAACGTGAATGGTGCCTTTTACACGGCTCAAGCAGCTGGTCGTCAGATGGTCAAGTTCGGTAACCCTGGCAGTATCATGTTGATCGCATCACTGAGTGGGCATATGACGAACAGGGTAAGAGCATTATCAGAGTGATAGCAAGCAAGCGACTTACAATTTTGTGCGTACAGGGACAAAATAACATAGCATACAATACTAGTAAGGCAGCCGTGATACAAATGGGCAGAAGTTTAGCCTGCGAGCTTGGACTACAGAACATTCGTGTAAATACGATCTCACCAGGATATATTCATACTCAGTGAGTTTCTTCCAAGTCTTGTCCCCGGATGCTGTAATTGTTAAACTACATTAAGGTTGACTGCAACAGTCATCGGGGATCAGCCTCACTTCCTGGAGCAATGGAAGTCGGAAAGCCCTCTCGGGAGAATGGGAAGGCCTCACGAGCTTCGTGGCGTTGCTGTTTGGCTAGCGTCTGACGCATCCAGCTTTGTCACTGGTAGCGAGTGCGTATTCTATCCTTATATGATAGATGAAAAATATAACAGACGTGCATACAGTATTCTCGTATCTGGTGGATCGCATGCATGGTAACAGAAGTTGAAAAGGTAAATGGGTTTTGAGATGTTACGGCAGACATTTCAAGATGACGTGAGACACCCTTGCGTTAGGTCTCGTATAGATAGATCAGCTGTCATATTAACTGTGTAGCCTAAAGTAATGAGGAAAGATTTCCAGATATTCTGAGGCCATTGCACAAATATCTGGACTCAGTTTGTCGGAATCGGCGATTTAATGTATCATCAGCAAAAAGTCTTTATCCTTGTATTTGCATATATAGTTATAAATTTTTCAAATTATTTAAATTTTATATAAGTACATATTTCGAAGTAACTTTTATATATAGTAGTATAAGGGAAAATATGGGTACCATATTCTTTATTGTTATTCTTAAGATATGTGGTCCTGTGTAGTCCTTATTAATCTTGGGAATATGTACAAGTAAATATATCAAAGTAAGATTCAAATATTGTCTAATAATGCTTGCATATTTTAAGAAGCCTGATATACAATATAATATGTACAAGGCATTATAAGTGTATCTAAGTTTTACAGCTTGTTGAAATACTTTTCACTTATTATTATTATAGTCGTTTGTACAATTGCAATAAATTAAATATATCCAAAGAAATATGTAAATACAAATAAACTATCTAATAACAACCCCCGGAGAAGGAAGAAAGCATTCTCGGGCTGCTTGATGTAGTCTTTGTCACCACGCTTTAGTCGTCGCTCGGTTCCTGCAATTTGAATTGTGTGCATGTGTGAATTAAGGTCGAGCAGGTTGTGGAGGTTGAGGCTGCGCCTGTGAGACGAGTTTAGAGTGATAAGCGAGTGACAATAAAAGAGAGAAGATGGGCGCACCGCGACAGTGTGCAGCGAGTGTGAGTGGTTCACCTGGGTTAAATCCAGAGCGTTGAACAAGCTAGTTTGAGCTGCAGGGGAAAGCGTGTCTGTGCAAGCGCATTGCAAGCTCTGGATACAACGTGCAATCAGAGGTGCAATATCAGTAGTAGTTGTGGATGTCTTCAAAGGTGTATCTCCGGGATGTTCTGGCTTGAATGGAGGGGGTGAAGTGGATGCTGTGGACGAACTTGGCTCAGGAGGGGTGAGCGGTGGCTAGTGCTTCCGTTATTCAAAATGGTGTCATGGACGGCACTGAGGAATGTAAATGCACATGGCGTGGGCCCATCAAGGGTGATGTCAAGCATGGGATGATAGGTGGGGAAGGAGAGTGCGCGGGGGTCGGAGAGAGGATTGCGCCTGAGAGTGGTCGTACATGGACATTGTCACGAGCGTGTGCTCGTCGATTGTTGCTTGCGTTTCCGAGCAGAGAGAAGTACGCGAATACATGGAAATATTGAAGAAGTCGTTCGGCATTGGTGAACAGTGCGGATGTGCGAATGCGAACGCAAAAAGGAAGGCGAGCGTAAAAAAAGGAGGACAACGACGGAGAGGAAACGCAAGCGGCGGAACGAGGAGCGGGAGCGATGGAAGGGAGATAAAAAGTTGGGAGGAGATGGATGAGCAACTATTTTGCAGCTTATGATGAAGTGGATTGACTGCTTACGCTTTACATTGAAGGACGGCGTAGCTAGCTGGGTCGTGTCGTCGCAGGATCTGAGGCTCATGCGGGCATTGCAATGGCAGATTGGAGAGACGACTCAGACGAGTACAGCAATGTTTTGGTCTAGGTTGTTGCAGGCGGAGTGCCTGCTGGTAGGACGCTTGCAAACAGAGGACTGGAGTGGAGAGAACAAGTGCAACTTGATGTCGAACGGGTGGCAGAGGGTTGTAGGAGATGGTGAAGGTCGGAAGCAAGGAGTGACGAGAAGGAATGCGTCATTATATGCTCTCGATCTTCAATGCTTGATCACATAAGTGAGTGATCTTACTTATATTATTGAGTTTGTACGTACAAAATAAGTCCTATATTATGCATACAATATAGTAAATAGATTACTGTAGATTTATATTCAACTTAAAAATTATTTGCTCTTTTACAAGATAGTCAGAGTACTTTTAACATTATTATAAGTACTTAAAAAAAATTTATTTATTATGTATATACCTAATACAGCTTAGATTAGATTTACGTACTTAATATAACTCATACACATATTATATATAACAATGTATATCTTGAAGTGACCCTGTATATAATGTAATACTTGTATTTGTCTTACATACTGTTATATAGCTTGTATTCTCTTTATATATTAAAGTTAAACCTTACTTTAGCTTGTATATTAAATATAAAAAATATGTTTTAAAATATAATATACAAGCTTATATATGGAATCAGACTTTTTCCTAATGTATAGCACTACAAATATCTAATGCAGGATCTACTGTGTGGTATGATTCTGCACACTGTTACTTCTATTAGGGTTATGAATCACATATTCAATGTTAAATTTACTGGCTTGCCATTACTATCACACTTTAGAGATTGGAAAGTCTACTAGTCAGAGTACACATTAAGAGCACTTGTGATACTCTTACATAGTCCTAAGTCCAACAATACTGTGTGAGTGCTTACATGTAATAAACACTTTGTTCCTTGTATGTATGTTACTGTAGAGGATGTATTAATATTTACATACAAGACAACTGTATCAACATAGGCACAATAATGTGTAGATTAGCCAGGTGGTAATTTGACTACAAGAATACTTAGTTATACATACCATTTGGGTACCCATGTTTTAGGGTACAGATTCTGTCAAGTGCTTGAGAAGGTAGAGTATTCACTTGGTTTACCAGTCTCTTTACCTGCATGTTGTTGATCTAGGTTGATACAGTCCTACCTCTGTCTAGGACATATACATTAGATCAATACTGGCCATTGTGTGTCTCCTGAAAAATTTGCTAAATGAGGCATAGTATATTCTGAATCACATCATCCCTTTACTACTCACAAAACACAATTCTACAGTAGTCTGCAGGTACTAGACCCTTAAGAGATCCATTAGTAGTTTATACACTCTGTTGTACCTCATCCAATCATCTGGACACAATTCTTGTCCTGTTTAGAGAATATGTATTAGTATAGATCTTAGGTATTAGGAGTATTAATAATGAGTATACACATAGAATTTCTACAAAAGAAAGATGTATTTACCCTTGACATATATTAATGAGTATTGAAAGAACTATATTTGAGATATGTAAGGCAGACATAGGTGAACACTACTAAGATGTTTTGAAGGAAACTTGAAAATGTAGTAAACAAGAATTTAAAAAATTAATACAACATACAAAACAGATTCCTGCCTAGATATGCAGGATAAAAGATGTCCAGTTGACATCCTGATAAATGTTAGCTGGCATGCTCTAAAACAAAAGAACTATAAGAAGTACAAGAAGAAGCCTTATAATATAATATAATGAGAGAAAAACATATACAATGAGTAAGACAATAAATGATTTCTTGAAAAGGCTGGGGAATTGGATTCTAGCCATGTATGTAACCAATCTAATAACCAATCCTGTAATGAGAGGACTAGCAGTAACAAAGGCACTACATACATGCTAGAGAATTTGGTTATTAGAGTTAATAAATGTAGTGTTTCAAGCTATACAGTGAATTGCTCCAAACAATGACCCAACAGTACTAGTAGTAAGTATAAGCTACAGGTTTGCTAAGGAGATAAACACATGTTAGTATATAGAATATTAAGTCTTAAGTATTATACTTGCTTGTAATCTTGTATATTTTTTATATTTTATAAAATTTGTCCAATTACTTATAATCTTCCTAGAGGGTTAAGTAATGACAGTACAATGTTAGATAAGTAAGTAAGAATACTTTTAAAACTTAGCAATTTCTATTATAATTTTATAAATTGTCAAGTTATAAAAGTAATTATAACACTTTCTAAGATTACAAGACTAAGACATACTTATTTATTTGAGAAAGTATAATATCTGCTTATAATACTTATAAGTCATTACAAGTGTTTGAATTGCTTCCTTTTACTTCAGATACAATTTTTTATCAAATAATTAATAAAATATAATTATATTCAATTATTTAATACAAAATAATAAATGATACATTATTTCTACAGTCCTAACTCCTACACTACTAGTAGCCTCTGCCTTGTTCTTTTGTAAGTAGAATTTGTGTCAGAAAAGGATGAACACATTCTTAGGCCATTTGATGTAGTCTTTGTCACTACATTTGGTTGTCACTCAGGACCTGTGAGTCAAATTGTGTGTGTGTGTAGGATGAGGTTAAGTAGGTTGTAGAGGTTGAGACTGTGCCTGTTAGACAGGTTTAGAGTAGTTAGCAAGTGATAATAGGAGATAAAAGGTGGACATACTGTGACAGTATATAGTGAGTGTGAGTAGTACATACAGGTTGAGATCTGGAGTGTTGAACAAGTTGATTCAGGCTGTAGACAAAGCTGTATTAGTATACATATAATTATATTCTAACTAACATACAATTGGAGGAGTAGTAAACTGAGTTGTTTTTGTGGATTGTAAAGGTGTATCTCTGGGACATACTAGCTCAAACAGAGAAGGTGAAGTGGAATGTATGGACAGACTCAGCTCAAGAGGGGTAAGTGACAGTCTACTACTTCTGTTTAATATAGTATTGTCTGTTACACTAGAGAATGTAAATGTACATAGGGTGGACCTGTAGAGAGTAATGTTAAGCATGGAATAGGTAGGGAAGGAGAGTGTGTACAGTGTTAAAGAGAGGGTTGTACTATAGGAATGGTTGTATGTTAGTATTGTTACAAGCACACACTTGTTGACTGTTACTTACACTACAGAGTAGGAAGTATGTGAATGTATAGAAACATTAAAGAAGTTGTTCAGCATTAGTCAATAATACAGATGTGCAAATGCAAATGCAAAAAGGAAGGCAAGTGTAAACAAAGGAGGACAATGAAGGAGAGGCAATGTAAGTGGCAGAGTAAGGAGTAGGAGGGGTGGAAGAGAGACAAAAAGTTGGGAGGAGAGGGATGAGCAACTATTATACAAGTTATTATGAAGTAGACTGGCTGCTTACACTTTATAATGAAGGACAGTGTATTCAGCTTAGTAGCATTATTACAGGATCTGAGGCTTAGTACAGGCATTATAGTAGCAGATTGGAGAGACAAGTACAGTAATGTTTATTACCTATATTGAAGCAGGCAGAGTGTCTACCAGTAGGACACTTGTAGTAGGTAGAGGACTAGGCTAGAGAGAACAAGAGCAACAACATAGTGTTGGGGGAAGAGGATTGGGGAGATGGTGGAGGTAGGAGGGAAAGGAGTGACAAGAGCAAGTGTGTCATTATATGCTCTCAATCTTCAGTACTCAATTATGTAATCACTTTGATATATAGTTTTAAAATAAAACCAAATTATATTATAAGCCTAACAGGGTGATTGTTAACAATATTAATATATATAATCATATACTATCTTACTAAAAGTATTGTAATTAACTTAAAAGTGCAATGTATTACTTTTATGGATGTGTATACAAAGCAGACTTGGGAGGATACGAGACGTCATTGGTAGAGAGTAGTATGTACTACCAGTCTACGACAGATGACGCTTATACATATTCCATCTTTAGTAGTGTAAGGTTAGGATCGATTCACGCTGCGACTGACCTCGAAATATTTGACAAAGCTGGGCGCTCATATCACAGGTTTGTACTGCTTCTCCTAAGTGTGCCTCTCCTTTCTTCTGGTTTTGTTTTGAGCTCATCGTCAAATCGTGGAGCCAACCCGACACGGAATTGTTTGACTCGATCTACATTGTACTCTGTTGCACTGACTGTGTCTTCTGCATCCTAGCTGCTACATCACAAAAAAGTCACAACAAATGTATTTAATAATAGCAAAAGTAATCTAATAAAATGATTTCATAAGCATTACATTCTAAAATAATACTTGTATTTTACTTGTAATGTAATTATAATGATTGTATATAAATGTAAGAAATATACAAAGTTTCTATTAAACTAAAAACATGTTTTAGAGCAAGTAAGCTTACTCAAAGTATTATTACAACATTACATGTGAGATCAAGCACTTAACTCCTATTATAATATGCTAAAATTATATTATAAGTTATTTGTAACAATAGTTGATTGATTATAATAGTGATTCTTTCTCTCTCTCTGATACTTTCGAGAGTTGCGACGTCACGACACGCAGGGGTGATTAGATGAATATGACGAAGGCATGGGGCAATCTTCGACAGGCCACTCGACGCGGAAATTTCTTTGGGTGTCCTGATGTCTCGAATGCTTTGTTAACAAAGCATCATATTGTTCTATGGGCAGCTGGAAACGTTTACCGCCATGTTTCCTTTGGTACGATTGTTCTTGGGAAATCGAGTATAACGTTTGCGACAGCTGCATTTCAGCAAATGTTGCCATGAATGATGTTCTTCTGGAATTATGGCTTTCTTCAATTTCCAGCTACTAACAAGTGGAAAACATGCCGCGCTACTGCTTATGCTATGCGGGTATGTCGAACCGGTGGACTTTTTTTCGCCCTGTCATGATCGTTATGTTACTCAGCAAAATTGCTGTAGATAATATGTTGAAGCTCGTACCTTTTGTCAATCCCTGCCTTAAATCACTGCTTATTGGTATCAACAGGAACAATCCATTCTGTGCCCCCAAGCTCCGTTAAAGGTTATTGGAACTATTGAGAATTCTTGAGCACGAGCTACTCAATCTCGGACAGTACTTTCGGGCTCAGCCTCATAAATTGCATTGAACACATGAGCATTACATCGGTAGATAATAATTACGCCTGCACAGAAAGAGTGGTGGATCAGGTACAGTCGTCTTGAATCTCTGGAGACAGTAAAGTAACTAAATCCGCCGACGTATATCGCTTACACTTAATGCTTCGGGCGAGGTAGATGCGAAGTCTGCTTCTTGCCATTTTTATCTTCGCGAATAAGCTGGTAATTGTAGCTTGTGGTCTTGTAGACGCCCTGGAGAGTTACCGTCCCGGTAGGAGTTCCAAGGAGAGAATTAACGTCCCTCTCCTAATGGACGTTTGGTTACTGAAAAAGCTAGAACTTGTCTAATAGACTTACCCAATAGTAGTGGCCCTGATACCTAATATGGCTTATCAGTGGTAATTAGAGCCAATTTCATTCATTTACTTACTTGTCACCCTTAGCTTGAAGCAAAGAACATCAGACATTGAACGAGTTTGAGAGCAATCAAGACTTACTTCCAAGGCTGCCTGAGACTCCGTATTGCTGAAGACGAGTATTAGCTGGGTTACACGAAGAAAGTTTTCATGCTTGATGCATACCTGGCCGTATTCAGCAGTGCCAGTAGTGGTGGTGATGGTGCGTTTGACAAAGACTTTCTCGTGAGGACCAACGCTTGATAAAAAATAGTCAGATAGAGCATACAACTAAATAATAATAATAAAAGAAGGCCTACGTTATGTCCCAGGTATTGCTCAACTCGTGGGAGTTCTCTTTGGTTTGGCTCTTGTTATTTTCTGTGGAGACCGAAATAGAGAACTCGGATCCTCCCACTTCGGGAATCTCTATGGATTGTGAGAGTGAGATAGAAGCTATACGCAGAGCAATCTGGAGTTGAACATCTATTCAAAACAAACAGTTTAACGAAAGTAGACCGACCACTATTAGTAACCGAGAGCGTTGCTGAAGTGGTCTCAGTCCACTTCTCACTCCAAGAGGTTTTGAAAGGTTTGGAGTTGTGTGAGTTGTCGTAGCTCCAGACTGTATCGTCCTTATTGACGCTATTCGTATTGTGACCCTTGACAGAAGGAGAGCCTTTGGCGACGTTGTAGCACCACCACCTATTACAGAAATGAAGCCATTGTCGAAACAGTTAGCGGATAGGTACAAGGCACAAGTGAGAGAAATAATTACTAACTCATACTCGGAGGCAATGCCATTATTCAAGGACAAATCTTTTAACCCATGCATACTATGACCACGGGATGCATTCGCTTTATCGTAGACTTGCTGAATTGGCCAGCCAAGGTTGGAAAGGTCCTCCCAAGTAGTCTTTGGGCCGGTAGGCATTCTGAGAGGTGAATTGCGACTGGGATATGCAGAACAGATAGCGAACCACATCTACTGGACGTTCTTTTATATAATGATTAAGTGCATGCGGGCCGATTTCCTGGTGAATTGTCATCCACCGTAACTTGCTTATTTCCGAATAACTAATTCGGCATTCTGGGTACGAGTAACATGTATATGATCGCCGTAAGCGGTGACTATGTTTCAAATTCCTGAGTCGCAAGCAATGCATGAATGAAATTAGATACTAGTTTTACTGGAAATGAAACTTCCGCATATCTCCGATCCTGAAACTATATATTATGAACTCCTGGCTTAAGTGCTAGTGCTGCCCATCGGATCAGCGTGGAAGTAAATCATGGAAGGAAACCTGGAGCTATAGGCGTTTCATTGCTAATAGCTGTGTCCTCAGATCGGTTAGTACTGTATCTGCTTTAATACAAGCAGCATGAACACCTGCTGGGAGAAACACAAGTAGGATATCGTCTCATATTCATCCTTTCGTCTAAACAAAGTATTATATAGTCTTAATTAATATGTAAACAATGTATTCTCAAATAACAAAGGTATGGGGGCTAAATTGAAAGTAACATTGGTCTAGACACTATATAATGTTGATAAATCAATTGATCTTGGACATTTTTTGAAATACTTGTAGCTATTGTTACAATTTGACCAGAACATTCCATGGTAGGCCTGGGCCCGGCATCCAAGGTGAGTGTATGAGTATGAAGTTATTCCATAAGTCTCCTTGCCTTTCGGGATGCTTGAACCACGCGTCTTCCACATGCTCGTAGAAATAACAAGCACCGAAGGAAGAGACTGTCAGGATTCTAAGAAAATATTTTGAAATTCATCAAGGAGTAATAGCAATGGACATATTCAAATTTTCATTTATCCAGTAATTTGGCTTATTAAAGTAAAGTATACCTAATAAATTCTGAAGTTTATTCCACATCAACAATATTAAATTTCTTCGTAGCTTATTATAGCTATTTTAAAGCCGTTCGAGAGATAGACTAATGGGGGATTGTAGAATGGCACATTTGTAATTTATATCGAAACATAAGGACGACTGAAATAGTTGTACCGGAAATTACGCCTCCACGAATTTCCGGTCCTCACGGGTACGTAAGTACGCCTGTGATAGGCTTGAAGGACTCGTTTCACTGATCGGAAAAGTTTCTCGGAAGGTATTTGGCGAGGTTATCGGGAATTGTGGTAGAGCAGTCGGGCTGGACGGGAAGTAAAGATTGTCCAGATGCTTACTTTAGTACCAGCGAGAAGGTGATGACTGAGCTTACTGATAGCATTCCCAACTTCATTACCTTCCGATCTGAGACTAGGGTGAGACGGAGGCCACGATTATGGCTGCATCGACTTGCAGGTCTGCTGGCTTGAATACTAACTTGTCCTGCTACGGCTGCTAACATTGCTCTTCGTCCTGGAAGGATTTGTGTCTGGACGAACTCAATTGCTGATACGTTGACACTAAGGGGCTAAATCATCAAGCCGCAATCACTGGGAAGGTTTCACTAGACCTGGCCACTTGAAGTTCGCAGAAGACAGACAGAAAGAGGCGCACACGAAGCGAATGCATAATCCGGCGATGACAATAAATTTGTAACCACGGGACTAGAGCATCGATGCACGTCGAGCTGGCAGCTGCGATACCGATGGCAGTTGGCACAACAGAGTGAATCGGGACAAATATTTTCGCGTCGGGTTGACTCAACGACTCAACGGCAAGTTCACAAATAAAAGTAGAAGTGCACAAAGGCAGTACGAAACCTAAGATATTTGCGTCAAGCTTTGTTAGTTATAGTAACGGCCACGTCTTTTCTTTTCATCTGATAGATGTGGAGTGTAACTGGCGCACATATAGTATTTTGGTGTCCGCTGAACGGTACACTTGGTAGCAGAAGTTGAAGCAACGCGAGTGCATGACAGCAAGAAAAAAAGCATTCACATGGGGCATTTCACAA